TCAAAAATTCAGTCAATTACAAGTGTGCAATTTTGTAAATACATCCGCATATGTTTCGTCAACATTTCGTTGATAGAAAAAAATTAAATCCGGGATTTGGAGTCTGTAACTTTGAAGGAACCTCATAATTTTGACTAAAATACTAATTTATAACTCCTGAGCGAATGAGTAACTTAATTTTCTCGTTGTGAGAGTTTAACAACGCCCTTTGCCACGAAACAAAAACATGAGAATAATCGATAGAATATGAACAGGCCTATAGAAGCTACTGTTTAGTGAAACAAGTGTTGCGGTTTTGTAAACTGTTTAGTGAAAATCTCATAATATAGTATTACATAAATACTGAACAGCAACAAGAAGTTATCCAGTGTTATACCGCTTTACTGGTGATACGAAGTGAACTTGATAAAATTCATCACATGAATTTTGATAAATCTAAATTTATAAAATATCAAAAACAAATTTACTCATTCTACATAGCTCCATAACAAATAAACAAGAAAATTTGCAGCAGAAAAAAATTATCACTTATCATCTAGATTGTCTCGTTATCTCACCTGTTGAATTTGCAACAATTTTTAAGTAATCTCAACAAATGATAGATTGTACGAACTGGATTGATACAGAAAATGTCTTCTCAATTATGTTATTTACATGTGGCAAAAATTTCATAGTAGATACTTCACTAAACTTCACATGGTGCATGTTCAGAAAACAATCAGCTAGTAGTGACTATAAACGTAGTTTTATCACCTACCCAATGGCTAATATCACCTTGATTGTTCAAATTATCGCCAAGATAAACAAATAGCAAACCTTTTTGGTCATCGATGAGTATGAAAAAATGTTAATGAGGAAATAGCTGGAAGTAATAATTAGGAATTTGAATCGGTTATTACATATTAATTGACTTGATTTTTTGATTGGGAAATAACGGTATTATCTGAGGATAGAGACGAATTGAAAATATTTTATACTGAATAAAGATAAGTCTAGCAGTTGGTTTTATAATTTTCTGCATTTTAATAGTAGCTTCTCCTCAGTTGCCAAGTTTGCTGTGTAACTTTACATGTATTCAAAGTTATGACTAATGGAATTGATATTTGATAATCAGATACCAAACTGAGAAAAATAAGAAAAAACAACAAAATAAGTTAATCTGCATCAATTACAAACAGAAAATTATGAATAGAATTTTAACGAACCAAAACAGAAAAACCAAAATAAAAAATATAGTGGAAAAATAGAAAAAATACTGAATGGAGAAAATATAAGAACAAATAGGAAAAAAGAACTCTATATGAAAAGCTTAGAATATGAAATCGGTGAGAAAAGTATTTAAAAAAATGCACCAAACAGAATGATAAATATAATTGAACGAAATTCATTTTTTGTGGAGGAAAATAAGTTTTTATTGACCTTTTTTTGATTATTTTCACATTCCACAATCTGAAAAATATGAAAATTATTATGGAGAATTTTATACACAAGTTATGGATAAAAATAACTTTTTTCTTTGTAAAAATTACTTTTGAATTTACGCAGTAACTTATCGGGGTAAACTAAAAAGTTTGCCCTTTCTACACGTATACGAGTATAAAATTCTCCATTACAATTTTCATATTTTTCAGATTGCAGAAGGTGAAAATACCCGAAGGTCGATAAAAACGTAAGTATCTTTGTGAATCCGGAACTGATAATCGGCGAGAGAGTGGTTATAGAGTTTCGGGAATGTATTTGAAGCAGTGACGACACTGCAAGCTGGACGACATGACGAAGTGCGCGTAAATTATTCCGAAGATAAAAAACATGGTGTTTCAGAAACTTCATTAATAGATATTCAAAAAAAACCTGACCCTGATTTAATTCCACTTTCTCTGCTTGGATATTACAGTTCCACAATTGCGATGCCACTATACTTTATATTTAATCAGTCTTCACAATCAGGTCTATTCCCGCCATATTGAAAGTTCAGTTACGTAACGCCAATCCACAAGGCTGGTTATAAAAGTACCATCAGAAATTATAGACCTTATGAAAAATGAGAATTGAAACTTTATATGTATTTTACCACTTTTATTTGTAACTTACGTTACTGCAATTTCGTCCTATAAGGACATTTTCAAACTTATACATTCAACAATACACCAACAATAATTAATAAAAACAGTTTAGATACGTTAATAACAGATAAGCTATTGCATTAAAACAGACAGATAATAGAGATATAGGGGCATATGAAATAAATGAAGCAATACAGAACCATCCATTCTCATTATCAAACCATAGAGAAACAGGCATAATAAAAAATAAAAATAAAATTATCTTGTTTTCAAGAAAGCTGATAAATCGAATGCCATCGTTCTTGAATGTTTTTTCAAATAGGAAATTAAGATAATTTTTATTATCATGAGGTTTTTGAAAAAGTTAGTTACGATATTTGTTATCTTCGCTCTGAAAAAAAATAAGTTTTTGAGGAATCATCCAGAATTGATACTTACAAGATCTGATAAAGGTAATGTGACAGTTATTATGAAGAAATCTGATTATATTGAGAAATCTCTTGAGATTATTAATGATAATGAGTCTTATGTTAAACCTTATAGAGATCCCGTTTTAACAATACAACAAAAGGCAAATAAAATCATTACGGATTTAAAAAATCTAAATTGATATCAGAAAATGAAGCAAAAATGTACATGATTTACAATTCCATATCACCCAAATATTATGGACTACCTAAAATACATAAACCTGATTTGAAACCGAGACCCTTTATTTCCTCCATTGATGCTCCAAATTACTTAAATAGTCACTAAAATTCTCACTGATGCTTATAATTATGAAAATGAATTCTATACTAAGGATTCTTTCGATTTTTCCAATTTTATAAATGAAAAATCACTCCCTCTAGGTTATATTTTGATCAGCCTTGATGTGATTTCACTTTTTAGCAATATACCTCTGAATCTAGTGGAGAAAAGTATCATCAAAAGATGGAATGATATAAATAAAAAATGTTCAAAAAACCAAAAATAATTCATTGAAATAATTGATTTCATCTTCAACTCAAGTTATTTCTCTTTCGAAGGTAAATACTATAAACAAATTCTTGGTACACCAATGGGAGCTACTATTTCTCCTAATATAGCTCAATACGTAATGAACGATTTTTTTGAAAACATACTCCCTAAATTGAGTTTTGAAATTCTTTTTTTAAAGAAATATGTTGACGATGTCATCTAATCTAATGAAATTCTTGATGTTGTCAATAGATATGATAAAAAGTTACAATTCACTATTGAAATAGAAAATAATCAGACCCTTCCTTTTTTTGATACAAGAGTTATCTGTAAAACCGATAATTCGTTGATTACAGATTGGTATGTCAAACCTACTAATTCAGGAAGATATATCAATTACTATTCCTTTCATAAAAAATCTGTTAAAATTAATTTAATACTCTGTTTGAAAAACTTTGATTTTTTTTTAATTATCACATTGCGGTTGCATATATGGATATATGGATTTTAGTTACTCAACACGACTCTCTTCGCCTCCAAAGAATTCAAAACTCTTAACAACTATTATTCTCGAAACGGTATTGCCTTGGTCATTTCACTCGTAGTTTTTCCTATATTTCCTCTAAACTGTATAATAAATTGCCTAGTGATTTCAGACTCTACACGATGATGACATTTCAAAAATGCTTGAAACATCTTCTTGAATTCTAGTAATTGGTAATCTGTATGTCGATTTTAGCTAAGCTCTTATTATTACTCATTTCAATTAAGCTTGTATTATTGTGTTGGTTAATTTATCTTCTATTCTATACTTGTATTTAATATTATTTTTTTTAGTATTTTGTAATGTTGACTTGAAAAACAGCTTACGCTGATAATCTGCCTGTTCATCTAATTTACTTTTATCACTAGTGTCCACATGTCTTTCTTTTTTAGATGAATACGGTCGATTTATTATTAATATTATTAAATTTAAAGATATTGCGCAAATTATCAGACTGCTCTGGATATTCCTTTTGAAACAAAATAATTGATTCTTGATGTATTTGCTGTAAATGTAATTCTTATAGTGAATGTATGTTTGCATATCCTCTTCAACTGTTTGACTTTGATTAACCTATCTATGCACACAATCGATCAATAGTTTGTAAAAGATTATTTCACAATTCATTCATTTTGAACTCACCAACCTCTTAGGCTTTATTTTTCCTTAAACGAGTTTTTTCCTTTTTTCGATTATTATTCGAGCAAGCATATAGCAGGATTTACTCTTTATAAGAAAAATAAATTTTCCAAATAATCTTGGGCACAATCAATTCTGTTTTATTTGTTACCATCAACTGTTATGATTATTCGTTCTAGGATATTTTTTCATCAGAATTCGGTAATATGGTTTGCTGTTAGTATATTTCACTGAATAACTATTATTTTGATGTTAAAATTTTCCATTCCAGATACCACTCAAAAACCGTCAAGTGTTATTAATCCTGTGTTCCTTCCGATTGTGAGGTTTACACCTCAAGATGCCTTTTCTCATAATTCTCATTTACATTTCAGTGGTAATCTCTGTTACATTATCTGTTTCAAGCAGACCATTTACACAGACAAGTTAAAAAAATGTCTTCGGTAGATTAGATGGAATTGCTCAATGACCAAATATTCAAATTGAAAATATTAAAACTAAAAACAGTTTTAAAAAATGTCCATTTCATTTAATGACAGTGGATTTATTTTATTATTTAGATTCATATTTGACAATGGGGTAGCAAAACCACCGATAAAGAAACTATCCCAATTAATAATCGATGGAAGAAAAAGTGGGTAGATACAAAAAATAGGACCATAAAACGACAAGAAATAACTACTTTCTTCAAAAAGTAATATCCTGAGAAGCACTAGAACTTGACATGTGTACAGTCATTGACTATGACTTAATCAAAAAATGTAAAAATTCAACACAGATAATTTTTAACTCACCTCAGCCCAGTAGCAGATAATGAGAGATGCACTAGACATCAGCAGTGGATAATAGGCTGAGAGCAAGCTGCTAGACCAGTCATATTCCAGAGATTCCTGTAAATGGGATGAATTTTATTAATCATGATAATTTTTTACAAAGCAACTATTTTATTCACTTATTTTGTTTTAAATATTTTCACAAGGTATATTGAAAAATGTCAAATTGAAAAAAACCTTATTTTTATTTCTGAATCAAAAAATATCTTATAAAGAACAAGTATCAAATGTTTATTCAATTCATTTGTTACAATAAATGGTTACTTTGTAAATGTTTTGATAATTATATGAAATTTCAGATATGTGCATTATTTTTAATTATATCTAGGTCTACATATTCGTGACTATCCATGAATTAACTCGAATAATGAGATTAACATTTCAGATGTGTGCCAAAATGTACCAGGGGTTCTTGAAAAATCTTGACATTTAAACATTATTTTCAAAAAATTTAAAATCGAATATATTTTTATATTTCAGGTATTATTTCAACTCGAAAATTTAAAAAAAAGAAAGCAAAAAAATTGATTTAATGGTATTATTAGAAATAAAGGTCATAAGGAAATATATCAAATCACTTAGGAATCACACGTTAAAAGGTAAGACCTCGTTAGTTCTTAGCTCGCACAATAATAGACTTCGGAGGGTTGTCGTTCGTAGGGGTGCGATAGCTGATTAATGGAAAAAACAGATTTCAAACATTTTTTTAAACATACTTTATTTGAGATTTGTGACAAAATTTGACAAGGTATCTAGGTGGATCTTGAAAATTTGAATTAATGAAATTAAAAAGTTCACTTTTCACTAACAACTGGAAAAGATCATTTTTTACAGCGGCATAGAGTTTGAGAACATCCATATGAAATAAATACGACACAAGAACTGTAACACTTCTTTCTAGGAAAAATGTTAGATATCTGATGTGTGAGAGCAGCATTTATGTTCTACTTCTACTTCAGAGGTTTCCTGTCCTACCTTTTAACCAACTTGGTTATTGAAATACGTAACAAAAAGGGTGTTATAGCTCAGGTTGTGTGGGAACAGTATTTTTCCTTCTTTCGGAATTTCATACCAAAATCATGCATGTACTCTCTCACAATTCTCAAGGACTGATGCAGATAGACTTCACCAGAAACCTATAGTTCAAGGTTATCCATATGAAATAACTGGTGATTTCAAGCTTCTGGTCTGACTGACCACAATGACTTGAACATTGAGAATTTTAGGTTCCTGTTCCCCATATCGTCGATTTTTCAGATGTTTTTTCCAGTTAGTGGATTCTGTTAGCTTTACAGTTAAGCTGGCAGAAGGATATTGAAATAATTCACTGTTTGGGAATTTTTGGAAATCAAATATTAATGTTATTATCTCATTTCACGTCATCAGACTTTTCCAGAGGCCTGTCCAAGGTCATCCATATGAAATAACTGATAATTTCAAGCTTCTGGTCTGACTGACCATAATGACTTTTGAACATTGAAAATTTTAGGTTCCTGTTCTCCTATCATCGATTTTTCAGGTGTTTTTTCCAGTTAGTGGGTTCTGTTAGCTTTACAGTTAAGCTGGCAGAACGATATTGAAATCCTTCACTTTTTGGGAATTTCTGGAAATCAAATATTAATGTTATTATTTCATTTCACTTCATCGCCTACTTTCCTTACGTTGGTTTTTTAACAATCAAGTGGATTCTGCTAGTTTTAGTTACTGGCAGAACTCACTAATTAAAAAAATACATGGAAATTCAGCGATAAAAGGAAATAGGGGCATTAAAATGCGCCTGAAATTCTTATTTCTACCTCTCCCACACTCGAAAAATATTAAAAAAAAATTATATCTGCTTTCATCGTGTCTGTCTAAGATAATTGCCGAAATATTCAATTCAGATGAGGAGCAAAAAATTGTTTAGTAGGATAATGAAGGAGCAGATAAGAGAAAATTATATCTGCTTTCATCGTGTCTGTCTAAGATAATCGCCGAAATATTCAATTCAGATGAGGAGCAAAAAATTGTTTAGTAGGATAATGAAGGAGCAGATAAGAGGAAATAGAAGCCTAAAATTATGGGGTAGTTTGACAACAAAATGTTTTTTCTCTGTTAAATGAAGAGTAAAAATGCAGGTATAAAGTACAAAATATTGAACTGAAAATAAACAACATAAAAATCCTAAGTGGTTTCGTTATTTTTACAGGGGGACATTGAGTGGCTGTGAATATTCTTTAATATTCTTCCAAAAAGACACTACCTGACTAAGGAGTGGTGGATATTTCACAACACATGGACTTTGGAAGTTCATGAAATAAATAAGAGTTTAATTATACTTCTTGCTCGTGACTTTTTGTGGCTACTAGAATTTATTTGTATTCTATCAAGTTAGTGGTGCTTGATGGTGAGTAGAGTCAAAATTGCGATAAACACGTCTCTGTTTAAGGACTATTAGATAGATAGATAGATACACTGAAATGCGTTCAACAGCAATGAAACTAGTAACATTTCATTTTGTAAGTTGCTCAACTGATAGTAAAATTTCAGACGTTGCCGAATCGAAAACTGTCAGTCTTTCTTTCCTTTTCAGAACTAATCATTTCTTTTGATATGACCTGAGTATATTCAATATGCCTAAAACATTGTCGAAATAGTCCCAACAAATACTAAAAGTAAGTAAGGATAATAGCAATAAAACATATCAATAGTACAAAAAAATTTTAAAGTTCGAAATAGTAGACATGTTGGCAATGCCGTAACTTGTCATCTTGTGACGTCATTCTCTTCTTAATGGGAACAACCTATACATATGAAAATTTGCTAATGTCTACTGCAATAACAAAAATGTCCACATATGTAAAAAATAAAATGGTTATTGCAGATGATAATGGAACTTATAATTAACTATGATACAACTTAAGGTACGATGTATTTCACAGTAAGTGTTAGTGGAAGTTATGAGAGACCGATAGATACATAATATGTGAATATTAATTTTTGTTGAATACACTATAGAAAATTCAAATAATTTCTCTTATTGCAAATTATTGCATTATTTATAAAGACTGTTTCATCATATTCTAGCCAATGTTCACTCAACAATAAGTAAAAACCGTTTACCGCCTAAAAATGTGCCGATACGCAGTATGCAGAAAGCAAATCAAGCCTCAGTCGTGTTGTGTCGACCCGTGTGTAGTCCGCCATTTGAAAATATGAGTGCGACATTCAATCAGCATACAGAGCGTCTACCGCATGGCAGCTGTACCGATGTCGTACCGACCCGTGAAAAAGCCGCCTAAGGATGGAAAAGGCCTCTCTATAGTCTCTATTGTCTTTTGTTACTCTGAGGCTCGATCAAAACTCAGAACTAATAATTATATCCAGATATATATTATGAGTTCTGTGAATCCAAATACATCGAGCAAAGTTATGGAGTAACTTTAGTCGGGAAAGACCGTATAAAAAAATGGCATTTTACTTGAAACGCATTGGAGATTAAGTGCAGGTTAGCACCGACAACGTATTGTGACCGCATGTTCTAAAATTTCGTTAACTTCGCTTGTTTTAACATTAATTCATACTCTTTCATAATTATGAAAATATTTAAATTTTCATTGTAAGCATCTGAGCCTTGGCAGTTGTTTTTTCTTGCACATGCTACTTGTGGATAATTCATTGATAAATACTTCCTTGGAAATTCTCCTCTTTTGTTTTTTTTTTCATTTGCTTGACAATTAAATGAAACAAATTCTAGGCTAATAGGCTGTGGTTGAATGGAACCTAAAGTACCAAACGTTTTCTGCTACTGCGGCAGACATCATCAGTGGTATGTGCGTTCACTGCCAGGACGAAAGTTATATCTCGAAGTGCTAGTAACGAACTAAGACTATCATATAAACTTCATATGTATATTGAGGATACCTGTTTGAATTGTAACCCTCCTATAAAATAACTCTCATAAAATTAAAGTATTTTAAAATAAACCATGAAACTATAATTTCAAATCTGGGTAATTTTTCAAGAAAACTGTCATCTGTCATTAATATGACATTTGATCTTCCGCTAACTTCACATTAGTTCAATAAGTTCGTGTACTGTTGTGTTGTGTAGAGAGCGTCCCTGGTTATCATGAAAAATATTAATTATTTGATGAAATAGTCCGTTATATTGGAAATAAGGCAAAGTTATAGATGTAATGAATTGGTTTTTGGTAGTGCGCTTTCATTTCAAAGGATATTTTTCACGAATATAAACTAGTGACTGATCTACCCCAATAAAGTATCTTCTTGCCGTATTCAGGTATTACCCCTTTTCATTTTCCTTTATAACTTTTTTTTTTGTTTCAAGAAGGTACTTTTGTTTTGATACCGGTGTTCAGTGTGTGTATGCTCCAAATACTTTTAAAGTTATTGTACAACTGTTACTAAAAAAGTATGGTGGTTATGACTGCTAATTTTTCAAAAAAGGAATCTGTATTCAAGTTGGGTATAGAAGTTATAACTTTTTCATTCTGATAGAACTATACTTATATAGTATGATTATTTTTTATGTTGATTTTCTTACAAAAAAAAACTGAAAAGGTATATGCCATGCATTTATAGTATTCAGTTTTGGAAATCTGCTAATGGCTTATTATCTATTTACCATGCTGGATTGAATGTATTCATAATATGATATAAGAACACAAATAAACAGAAGTTTCAAAGGAAAGTTTATTAATGATTGTCTTTCTAGAAAAATCTCTTTTTTGATTCACATATGAAAAAGTTGTGACAAACTATATTTGAAATAATCAGTAGGTGATTCAATTTTTATTTCATGTAGTATGATCAACATTACAGAAAAATGTCCCATAATTGAAATACATATTCCTGACCTGTTAAACTCTCCTTGGCCTGACATGATCTTCCTTGAATTTGCTTGCTTCACACTGAATAGGGCCAATAAGCCTGAAACTGGTGTCTGTAGTTTGCATACAGTGCTTTGTAAATAAATTCTACAAACTGATATATTTACATTGAATTCCATTGCCCTTCTCACGATTATTGACAGTTGTTTGTTTGAGTTTTTCTTGATGTTTTGCAAAGTGGTTAGCACCTTCAGGAGTATCAAAAAGTTCTTTGTTTGGTGTCTATAAATTGATTCATGATCTGCGATGTAACCAACCGTAAAGGATGGGCACCACTTGGTTGTGAGAAACTCAAATGTGGAGTCACCAACAAAATCAAACCACACATTTGTGGCTTCAGTCAGAAAACCTTGTATTTATTTACAAGGCTTTAACTACCATCTCCATGTAGGCGACTATAGCTACCTATGTGATAGTTTTTCAATATTTTGCTGACACCAGTTGTTAGCGTGGAGTACTCCTGAAACCTGACTGCAGTACACTACGGTTTTGATCAAAAATAAACTAATGTCTTCACAAAAATCGAAAAGAATGGTATTACAGATTAGCGATAATGTATTTTTTTAAGTAATCAATATAGTATGAAGAAATTTATAGTATTCTAGCGAACCGCCCCGGCTTCGCACGGGTGCAATACTGATACTAAATATACATATAAACGCGTGCGATCGCTGTAATATCTTCGAAAATATGCGTTTAAGTTATATGCTGTAAAAGGCCATATTGATCTAAATTAAATGCACAATGTATTTAAGGTAATCAATTGGATAAGGATTAATGATGTATTGCTTAAAATCGCTTCGTAAATAAGCCACTATTTCTTGAGATAAAAGAGAATAAAAAAATGTTATTGTGGGTTATTCCTAAGAGGTAGACATATGACATCGCTGACTTTTCTGTAAATGTTTTAAGGTGAACAATACGGTTGTACATTATTTTGATCTATCTCGTAGGGTTCAGTCAGAGTTTGCAATGTAAGTGCAAAAAAAGTTTTTATTTACAACATCAGCAACTTTGTTTTATACTATGTAGTAATAGACGTACTACTACACATAATTAAACGACCAAACAAAATGACAATTTTTTTCCACCAAAATGTAATCTGTCTCCCACTAAGAAGATTTTATTATACTAGAGAAAAAGTATCTAGCTTTCTACTCCTCCATCTTTATACAAAAATGTATTGAACTTCAGAAGAATGGAAAAAGTAATCAAGTTGAAAATGAATTATTTACAAAAATATGTAGATCATGCACAGACGTTTATTTCAGATACAAATTGAAATTGGAAGAAAAACCCCTTTCGAAACAACTACTTTGATATGAATATTTTCGTATAATACGAACATTAACTTACACTAGGGGGATATCAGGTATACTACACTTGAATGCTAATATATTTGGTTTGCTAGTATCCAATGATAGAAGATTCGAGTCAAACCAATTCTTCATTTTTTTCATGTCTTGGCACATTTTGTTATGCAATCTGTTTTTGTCCTTGTCATGCCAAACTAATGTGGTGTCGTCAGCAAATAAGGTAGCTTCCTGTAATCGATATGTTGGTTAAATCATTAATGTATAACAGAAACAGTATAGGACCTGAGGTACTCCACAATTTATATCTCCCACGTCCGAGTTAGATGACTTTCCTACAAACCATATCTTATGAGTTTCCGAAGCAATATGATGTGATTGACACAGTCAAAAACTTTGGATAAGTCACAAAGCACTGCTGCAGTGGCTTTCCCTCTGTTGATTTCATTATACACCAATTGCAATACTGTTAATATAGCTTCACTTGTACTCTTGAAATTCTGAAAGCCATACTGATGTGTACTCAATATCTCATTACTGGTCAAAAATTCCATTATTCTTTTTTTTTACCAGTTTTTCAATTATTTTTGGTAAGGTTGGGATGAGCGATATAGGCCTAAAGTTTGCTGGATTTTCATTGCTGCCTCCTTTATGGAGAGGAATGACGACCGAGGTTTTGAGAATTGAAGGAAATGTTCCTTGCTCGAAGGAGATGTTAATCAGTTCAACAAGTATATTGAGCGCAGTCTCAGGAAGGCTTTCGAGAATTTTAATAGAAATATCAAAGCCAGATGATTTCTTATTTTTTATGTTTCCTATAACTTCTTTCAATTCATTTATACTGATATGGTGTAATGAAAAGGTACTGTCTACATAGATATCACTGAGATATTCTAGGGGATCGTGAGTAGATACAAGGTTTTGACTGAGTTTTGTTACGACGGAGCAGAAATAGCTGTTTGAAAGGTCCGGATTCAAGAGTGTATCTGTTGTGTTTGTATACATATTTTTTCCTCTGAGTTCTTTGACCAGCTTTCTTTAGCTTTGTTGTCAGCTTCCGTGATTCTGTTACTATAGTACAAATCTACAAAGCCAGATGATTTCTTATTTTTTATGTTTCCTATAACTTCTTTCAATTCATTTATACTGATATGGTGTAATGAAAAGGTACTGTCTACATAGCTATCACAGATATTCTAGGGGATTGTGAGTAGGTACAATGTTTTGACTAAGTTTTGTTGCGACGGAGCAGAAATAGCTGTTTGAAAGGTCCGGATTCAAGAATGTATCTGTTGTGTTTGTATACATATTTTTTCCTCTGAGTTCTTTGATTATTGACCAGCTTTCTTTAGCTTTGTTGTCAGCTTCCGTGATTCTGTTACTATAGTACAAGTTTTTTGCAGCCCTGATTACCTTTCTATAGACTTTTCTATAGTATTTTTAAATACTATTCATTATGTATTGGGTTGTAACGTTACTGGGCATTTGTACATGCTTTGCTTGATCAAAAAACACTTTATTGTGAGATTCTCACTAAACAGTTTTACAAAAATGCAACATGTGTTTTGCCATACAATGGCTTCCTTGGGCGTGGCTTTACTAACAAAATTCTATGTATTCAATGCAAATATATCTAATTTACAATTTGAATTTCAAACACCTGGGTTTTACCTAGCCATTTAATATCTTATGTGTACCTGCATTTGTAATGAATTAAATGAACTGAGCTTATTTACCAGTTTCCACATTTGAAAAAAAATTTAGCAATGGGGAATTATTCATTTTCTATTTGGCCATTCAGTTAATTACCCGAATTTTTAAATCTACTCATTTCTAGGCATTCTAGAAGATTGAGTTTCAAACTTTTGTCTTCTGAATATAACACATCGTATTCATAAAAGAATGGTATTACAGATTAGCGATAATGTATTTTACATTCTAGAAGATTGAGTTTCAAACTCTTCTCTTCTAAATGTAACACCTCCTATTCATTATTGAACTCATATCCTTCTGCTAAAAAGTGGTTTGCAAATGTGGAATTTGTCTTTCTATTTAAGAAACTACTTCTATCTTCTTTAATTATTTAGGAAAAAGTTCTTCCTGTTTGGCCAATATACAGTTTTGGGCAAGAGCCACTAGTCAACTTATATACTCCTGATATATCCAACACCAAAGTTTTGTCTTTATTATTTTTAGTAAATTTACTTAGACTATCAGTCGTTTTGTAAACTACATATGCACTTTTTTTTCATATAGCTATAGCTGACGTTATCGTATCTTGATTTTGGGTAGACTTTTTCTTAACAAGTACATCACCTTAATCAAAAAGATTTATGATCTGGGGAGACTTAATTCCTATTATGATTGATTGAGCTCATATTAGGGGTTTTGGGATTAACAAAAGTGAACATTTAAATACTATTTGGAAATTATGTAGTCTTGTCATGTTGTCATTTTGGATGTAAATGAACTCGGATACTCTGAAAATTCAGTGTCGGCTGCCAGTCAAATTCTTCCCCTAAACCTCACAGACACACCTCCAAAACTTGTATTATCTACTTACAATCTACTCACATTCTTTACTATTTATTCTCTATACTTTTTGTGTGTATTGTTAAGTTGTTCCATGTCAATGAAAGTATCCTTATTATATTACGATTACTTTTACTCAAAATTTGAGGAAATTTTTGAGGTAATAAAGGTTTTATTGATCCCTAATGTATAGTTTAAAGAATTGAGATGTTGATAATACTATTGGGTTATATGTAGCTAGAATTAGGTTTAGAACACATTTCATCTCTCATTTCCAAAAATTTTTTTCTGTTGATGTTTTAAGTTATTTCATGCAAATTCATTTTATTCATTCCAGGTAACTTAAAATGTCTGACATCGTATATCCTCCGGGATGTCGTCCAATTAGCGACGATCTGAATACTGACGAGCTGATTCGTCGCCTGAAAACTCTCGCTCATACATTACAGGCCATGGGACAGGATGATGGCGCTTACAGGCAATACATCCCATTATCACTACACCTTGTTGAAGAGCAGTTTTTATCTCACACATCTCGAGACGTGCAGCTGCTGATAGCATGCTGCATAGCTGACGTTTTGAGGGTCTATGCTCCAGAAGCCCCCTATAAAGATCCTAAACAAGTCAAAACTATATTCCTTTTTTTAATAACCCAGCTGTCTGGACTGAAAGATCCCAAAGATGCTGCCTTCAAAAGATATTTTTACTTACTGGAGAATCTAGCTTATGTCAAATCTTTCAATATGTGTTTCGAACTGCAGGATTGCCAAGAAATATTTTGCGCCCTTTTCCACCTCATGTTCAAAATCGTCAATGATGAACATTCTGGAAGAGTTAAGAGTTTCATGCTGGACGTGCTGTGTCCTTTGATTTCAGAGAGCGACATGGTTAGTAATGATTTGCTCGATATTATATTAATAAATATTGTCGAGCCCAACAAAACACAACACAAAAATTCGTATTACTTAGCTAAGGAACTGATTGTTAAGACGTCAGAGACTTTGGAGCCTTACATTCAGGCATTTTTCAATCAAGTTTTGATCTTAGGAAAAGAAGATAAAAATTTACAAATTTGTGGTAAAGTATACGATTTAATCTACGAGCTGAATCACATAAGGCCGCAGGTTCTGATAGCCGTCCTACCCCAATTAGAATGCAAGCTTAAAAGCCCTCTTGAAAGTGATCGATTAGCTGCAGTAGCGCTCCTAGCTAAAATGTTTAGCGAAAAAGACTCTGAGCTTGCCAGGCGGCACATCGTTCTATGGAGGGCATTTTTGGGTAGATTTAATGATATCTCCATAGCCATCAGGACTAAGTGCGTTCAGTACTCTATGCACTTTCTTTTGAATCATCCAGACTTGAGAAAAGACATAACGGATACTCTCAAAATGAGGCAGCATGATTCTGAAGAAAACGTTCGCTACCAGGTAGTTATGGCAATCGTGACTACAGCTAAGAATGACTTTCAGGTAGTTTCTGATTCCGAAGATCTGCTGGAGTTTGTCAAAGAGAGAACATTAGATAAGAAATTCAAGATAAGAAAAGAAGCCATGTCAGGCCTGGCGTTGATTTACAAGAAACATCTAAGTGACCCAGATGTTCCGAATGCTACAAAGAAAGCAGTCACTTGGATCAAGGACAAAATTCTTCACGGTTACTACATGGCTGGTATGGAAGATAGACTATTAGTGGAAAGATTGCTGAACACTTGCCTTGTTCCATATCAGCTTCCTGCTGCTGAGAGGATGAAGAAACTTTATCATCTCCTTGGTACAGTAGATGAACATGCAACGAAAGCTTTTATGGAACTCCAGAAGAATCAACTTTGTGTTAGAAAGTTGGTATTGGAATTTTTAGAGGTACACAGAAGAGTTTCGAATAATCCAGAATTATTGAAGGAACTGTCACTTAAGGTTCAGGCTTTATCCAGGTGTTTACCAGAGCCTGTCAAGGCGCACGAGTATCTCTCGAAATTTAGTAACCACCTCAGGCGTGATCAAGCTTTATTGGAGCAATTTGAAAATGTTACCAGACCTTCAGTGAGCTGCAAAGAATGTTCTGAAGCTACAGCTGCTGTCTTGAGAAAACTTGGATTACCTGTAATGACCAATTTGTACTACAACACTGTCAAAATGTTACTAGAGCGTATAAGCTCGGTTATGATTGACCATGAAGCCATAAAACTCTTAGTTGGTTATGTGGAAGACTGTCTGAGAGGTGGAAATACAATTGAGGAGGTCGGATTACACCCCGCTACCGCTGGAGATAGGGGCCTCAAATTATTGGTTATGTTGAGTGTGGTGTTTCCATCTCACTTTCAGTATACTGATGTTTTACAACAACTGATGGGCCTGCTTAGATTAGATGATGAAAATGTGGCTCCATTGGTACTGTCTATTTTCACCTTCTTGGGTAAATATAGATGTTTATGTAAGTACCTCTTTGATTTCTTCATTTGTACTAAATATTTTTCAACAAAATTCCGGAATCCATAAGGTGTATCCTACATGATATAAAATTCACAAAATTCAAATTGTCCTAGGAAATTTTTGCTCTAAATTTGTAAAAATGGACTTTGGTTTCTTTAAGTATCTCATAGGGTGCCTTTACCATTCACCATCAAGTTCTGATTCTGTTTTTATAGATGGCTTGGATTTTTGATAGTGTTTCAAACCAACATTGTATTCTAGCAGACGATTTAAATTTTCTTGGAAATTGCTTTTTTTATTAGAGATTCAAAATGTTATCATTCTTCTGTAAAAGTATCTCCTAAATATTCCTTATGGCTGTAGTAACATTTGTTCGGTAATGAATTATTAATTTTCTTAGTGAACATAGTTTCAGAATTCAAACTCTTCATAGAAAGTAGCAGTCTGTTATAAAAATTGATGGCATATTACAATGGAGATTTTTTGAAATGGTCACTCCTACACGAAGGGACCCTTAGAACCGTAGCATGGCGAGTATCCCGACCGTGAATGCTCATAAAAATACTCTCAAAACAACTATTTTTATATGAACATTGAATTAAGGAGAGTAGGAGATTAAGGAAATAGAAGTGAAAGGGGTATTAGTCGCCCTATAATTAATTACACAGTGAATCAGAACAGACTTGATATTAAATTTCACCATCTGTACATGATATTGAAGCTTTTTATTATTATGAATTTAATCTTTCTATAACATATAGTTAATAGTAGTTCTGTGCCTAGCCCATCAGAAAAATATTTTCATAACATTTAAATACAATTCATGCGTATAATTAACTTTAATTGTTTCAATGTTAATAAGGATGTGTTCCAACAATTTTGATGTAAATGGAATATGAGGATGTAATTTTGAAAATATCACCGAGAGATATACAAACATTTTTATCTCTGTTATCAATTCGCAAGATGACACTTGTAATCACATAATCAAAGTGAAAATCGTAAATAGCATACTTTTTCATTATCTGAAAGATGCAAATTTCTGAAATGTTGAATTAGAAACGCATGAAATGACACCTTCATATAATTTGTTGAAAATGTTGTTTGATATATCAATATAAGGTCCTCTAAATATCCACAACTATTTTGTTCGTTTTTAGGACTTTTTTCTGGATTTAAAATTTCTAGAAATAGTGGAATCAAAATTCTCTTTGATTTTCAAAGTCGAATATTTAAGAAATATGTTGAAATTAAATTTATTTTTAACAAAATTTTGAGAAAAAGTATAACAATCCAAACAAAATGATTTTGAGTCTGAACTCGATATTTTTCTCTGTCTTTTTGTTGACTAAAATGATCTCAAACTATTTTAGACTGAATTGTCAGGTGGTATAAATAGTTACAATTAAATACTATGTTCACAAGTCATCTTACATAACCACAATCTGGACCACGCTGAAATCAATCAGGTAGATCACCTACAGACCAGTTTTGGTGTATTAACTCTCATAATCATACTGCTAAATGAACGAGAAACATCTGCAAGATCAACCTCTGTGAGGTATCTTCAATGACCAGCGTGTTATTAGCCGGGGAAGTACTTATTTTCCGGCAGGCTTTTTCAAAACCTACTGTGCAGGTAAATTGAGATTTTACTTTGGAATAATTATTTTCTTATGCATATATATCTCTCCTCGATACAGTCTTCAGATCTACTTTGATTTCTGTCAGAGAACTGGTACATGGGATGTAAGTTCCGCTCTTGAGGCTTTGTTCAAGAGTTGGAGCTTTAACTACCTAGTTGACAATCTTTCTCTTAGATAGCTTTCATAAATGTAGTCGAGCTGCGTTGAAATGAATCTGGTCCCAGGTATATTGCTGTTTCGGACGGATCTTTCCTGCACTGAAGACAGGTAATACTTCGAAACAGGTCTGTAAGTGATCTACTTGATTGATCTCAGCATGGTCCTGCTGCTGGATGAACGAGAAACATCTGTAAGACTAACCTGTGTGAGGTATATTGCATAAATATTTGTCAAAATTAATTCAATGTCCAGCGTGGTATTAGCCAGAAAATTATTTATTTTCCGACCGGCACTTACCAGAACCTCTGTGTAGGTAATTTTCGTGGTTTCATTTCGAAATATCTATTTTTTATATGTATCTCTCCTTGTTAGAGTCTTCAGGCTTTTTTCATTTCTGACAGAGTATTGGTACATAGAATGTTTCATAGAGCTGTAACTAGTTAACAATCTTTCTTTTAAACAAAGGTTTCATAGATACAATCAAGCTGTGCTAAAATCAATTGAGTCTCAGTCACTGTTTGGGACTTTTATTGCAGACATCAATCATGTCTCTTTTTTATTTAAGGATATTCCGGAAGGATAGGTAAACAATCTGATTAGAACGATTTATATGTATTACTCAAAAAGAATATATTATTATTATTGATTTGAGCTCCAAACTACTTAACAGGTAAGTTACTTTTGATAGAGAGTATGATTGTAATCAGACTGTTTATCGATAGCATCAATACTTATGAATGATATGCCATTAGCATTCTCTCTTGAGACCTAAAAATATTATTACATTTGAAAACAAAATCATGCTTTCGTCATAAATAATACCATGGTAATTGAATATTTTCTATATAGTTTTAACTGAAAGATGGTGGCTTAAAATTATTTAAATGATCATATCCATTTATATGTATGAAAATGAAATTTAAGTTTTATATTCAATGAAAAACTATGAAAGTATGAGTAGTCAAAAATGAACTCCTAAAATAATTTAGAAATTTCTCTGGATTCTAGAAAACCAAATTCCCATTAGAGATGATAACATCTATCTGTTATTAGTTCAAAGGATAACACTTCACATTATTATCTTCATAAACAAATAAATTGAAATATTTAATGAAATTAGTTACTTACAGGAAATATGAAGTATGCCCCTCTTATCATACTAGCAATGCAAATAACCAAGTATATCAACTTCTGGTTGGTCACTTTACATGCTCTAACTAAACTTGGTGCTTTCAGCCTAACATATTCCGATGTAATGCATATAATGAGTTGAACGGCACAAGTAAAACTAATGAAAAAGAAAACTCCTCCGATTCCGACATGGTATGGAAAATTAGGGCCATCACAAAGATCTCCTGTGAAGCGAATGTCACACATGCATGTACCATTATAACATTCACCGCGTCCTGAGCAGTCTGTAGTGCAACTAGAACTGAGTCCAGACATTATAAGAAGATGTCGAATCATAATAAATATATTTCCTCCTGAAAAATGGGTATCATAAAGTACAAAGAATTGTGACCTACCTAAATAAAAATATTTTTTAGATAAACTATACCTCAACTCTGATAGAGAAATACTGTCACGAATTATATTAGGAAACAAATAACTTTTCAGGTGTTTTACTCAAACAACAGAAAGCAGTATTATACAAAATATAATATCTCATCATAACAAAACATCATAACATATGACATATTCTGACATTTATTTACTCTGTCTCTGTCACTTTGATGTTTGATTTATCTATTTTATTGTTCAGCCAGTTCAGCTGTAAGAGCGGTGTTGCCAAGAGAGCAATAATAAAGAGTAGAGTGTCATTACACGTCGAATTTGTCATGATTATTGAGCACAGAACTCATATATCTATCAATTCCAATATGGGACTAGGGGAATTTTGCTTTCGCCGTCGAGAGGACCGGACGCATCGCAGCCGTTCTCATCGACGGATGTTGAAGAGTTGAGTGGAGAGTTCATTTTGAAAACGTTTTCTCCGTCTAAAGTATGTGCATCGCAATCTTATATGTGTAATCTTCGCCGTTTGAAGCATTAGTAGCACTTTTTCTAGTGAGACTTCCCAAATTCCACAGGATAGGTGATGATGCGTTCTCAATTGGCATTTGGTATCATCAGTGGTTGACGTTAAACTGGGAGCAATTTATAAGACGGTTGTGTTCCTGAGTACAGTTCGTTTCATTCACAGAAAAGTAAGATTTACGATTTCTAAATATTTACACATATAAGGAATACTAAATTAAAGATGTCATGAATTAATTTGCTCGTTTTAGTTACCTTAGGATAATTACATTTGTAGTATCCAACGTGACCAGTGAGAAACTTATTAATATATAGAATTTATTGATATGCTCGTGAATATAATCATTCTAATAAGTATGCATTTGGTCATTAGTTGATGTTCCTCTCGCGTCATTCGAAATTTAGGGGCTTCGGAGACAGGGTGAAAAAAAAATGTTAATTTCCATAAAGACATTTACACTATTGTTCAGGATACATCACAGCTATTGAAGTAAAAAATAAGATACATTTATCGATTACACATATTACTAAAAGGAGAATAGTATGCCATAACGTATACATTGTCAGTGAAGTGAGCACTTAATAAAATCAGACAAGGAATAAAAACAGTTTTGTACCAAGTCTTGTTTTTTTCTTGAGAAATCTGAAAATAAGGAACAATTTTTATATCTGCACTCATATGGTATATAATAGTTAATCATTTGCCTTGATTTTCAGATTCATTCAGCAGTTACTGGATGAAGATCCATAGTAATTTTAAAAACTGCACCTCACAATTTGATCTCCACAAAGTTTGTGGAGAATTTTGGAATATATAGAAAAATGATTCCATGATATATAGGTGAGGAACAGTAATTATACTAACTTTTTTATTGTT